ACCGCCCCGCCCCACCCCTTCGGCAAGGGCCCGTCACTCGCCGGCAGAGAAAAGTGGGTGGAGCCAGGGCTAGCGACGCTGTCCAATCAGCGTGATGCACTGCGCCAGCTTCCCTCTGCCCGCCCTTTCCCTTTCCTCGGCTTCTCTATAAGATCTTCCGCCCACTGGGCGCCGCTGTGTAGCCAGGCCACAGAGTAAGCCTCCGGCAGGGTAGAAGGACAATTCCCGAACGGAAGTTACTGTTGAAGCTAAGGCAGCCATAACGGATAATGGCACGAGGAGCTTCCCAGCTTCCTGTTTCCAGAGTGACGTTGGTTTTTCTTTGCCTAGACCCCATAGTTACCCTGGGCAACAGCTGAAACGTCGGGAAAAGGATGCATATGTAAGTAGGCCCACAGAGAAACCACCGATGACCAGAAACCCCTTGTTAGATCAAATAATTCACGCTTCGGACGATAGGTACAGTTTACTGGCTCTTATTTTGCTTAGACATCTGGTCACTTACGTAGGTGGACAGCAGTTTAGGGCTCTGAAACTACCTCTCCTGCCCGGAAGTTGCATTTGGCACTTCCGAATGGGGTCATGGCGGAAAGGTGGGAATAGCCTCTGTCGCCAGAGTCCCAGGGAGTACCCGTTTTCAACTGTAGTTGCAAGTGAAGTGACTGTCCCTTGCCCCACCATGGGTGGGGCAGACCCGGGCCTGAAGGTCCCTGGGGTATAGCGTTGCGAAGGTGGGCGGGGCTCACGAACGCTTCCGCTGCAAGCAGGTTTTATTTTCCGGCCAGGCGGTGACCCACCTTCTTTCCGCCCCTCTGAGGCTCCCTGTGGGGCGAGGCCGCTCGGCGGACCGCCTTAGCCCGGTAGGAGCCGGCCAGGCGCGGAGTGCCCTAGCGGGGAATAGGCGTGCACTGCGGGGCGGAACTCCTAACTCGGGCTACACGGAGCTCGTGAACACGCCCCCGCACGTTCCTATTATTTTCAGCCCGGTACCTTTGGGAAGGTGGAGAATGCAGGAATTTAAGGAAATCATTTTCCAGCCCCAACTATTAAAAAAAATAATAATAAATAATATAGTCCCCCTTCCCGTCCCGGCGGCAAGGTCTTTGTCTTATTTCCCCACCTCCTGTCATCACATTGTGATATTTCTCCCCTTTCCTTCTCTCGTTTTTTTGGCTCTTTGCAAGCTTTGATTGCAGTTCTGGATGGGAGTAATAAGGTCCTAACCCTGCATGTCTATGATTTATTAAACAATTAAGTGCTTATGAATATTCATCAAATTGCCACATAACTTTTATATGACTATAAGATTATCACATTATTTCATGTAGTTCCTTCTGTAGGCTTGACTCAAGAACGCTGTCTTGTTAGTACCAGGTTGGATGACTAAACCTTCAGGGAAAAGATCAGAACTTTCAGGTAAATTGAAAACTGCTTATACCCACCTAAACAACTATGGGTTCAAATTTATGTCATCTACCTAATTTCTTTCTTCTTAGACATATCCATGCTGCAGCCAAAATGAACTACTATGGTATCTTCTGAGGTTAATCACCGAAGTCTGTCAGGTTACCAACATTTTGTGATTTTTGTCTCCTTGATTCTATTATGATTGGAGCAGTGTTTCCAGATTTTTTTTAGTAGTAAGTAATTTTTCCTGAGTTTATCTAGCAGTTTCTATACTTCTTTTTGACAACCACTCTTGTATATAAAATCTGCATAATGCTTTTGGCTTCACTGCCATGTTTATGCCTAAATAGAGTGGTTTGTATCAGATCCTTCTGTCTGTCATTTCTCCTTGCACATGATATTATTTTTGTAAATACTAACTGAAAGATTGAATTTGTGGAGTGTCTTCCAAGTGCCTAAGCCACTGCCAGCCAAGTTTTATGGATCTATAAGAAATTCAGTACAGGGACCAACTGATGACATAATGGTTATATCCCTCCACCACCACATAGTCAACTGTAGTTCAAGTCCCAGAACCAGCGACTGAACACACTGGGCACGTGTATGTGTGCATACCCAAAATCCCAAGAGGAGAATGGAAGAAAAGGGATTGTGGCATGGCCATCTCCCCTGGAGGTTGATTTCTCTCTTTCTGTCTGTCTCTAGCAAGCCCACCACACTATAGCAAAAAATCTAAAAAGAAAAAGAAACTCAGTATCATTTCTACTACTTGGCCTTTACTTAGCTTCCCCTCTGAAGTTTTTCCAACATGACTTTTTCTTCAAATGTTTTATTATCAAAATGATCATATGTTAAAAAGATAAAAGAATACAATGAACATATACCCTTCACCTATATCCAACAGTTGTTACCATTTTGCCATATTTATATCATTGCTCTTCACATTCTTTTTTATTGTCATTGAACCACTGGGAAATAATAGATACCTATTGTTAGGCAGACACCCCAAAGACTACCAGCATTAATTTCTTCAGTATTTTTTTGGGGGGGAGAGTTTTTTTTGTTTTGTTTTGTTTTTTGCTATAGGGCACGTGCGCTCGCCAGAAAGACAGAAAGAGACAAAGAGGCAGAAAACAAGAAATCACCCCCCTAGGGGGATGGCCACGCCACAGTCCCTTCTCCATTCTCCTCTCGGGATCTTGGGCACGCACGCACACACGTCCGGCATGAGCTTAAGCTACCGGGTCTGGGACTCAAACCATGGTCAACTATATGGGAGTCCAGCAACGTAGCCATTACGCTAACTGCTAGTCCCAAATTTCTTCAGTATTTTTAAGTTCTTCTGAAAAACACAGCATCATTATTACAGATAAGGAAATTAATTTTATAATATTTAACATGTGTACGCATTTTCCTGATTGACTTAATATCTTTTATACTTTCTCTTCTTCAACTCTCCAAAATCAGCATCTAGTCATGTTATATTTGGATATTGTAACTCTTTAGCCTTAATCTAGAATAGTTCCCCATCTTTTTTACCCTTCCTGTGACATTGGCATTTTGAAGAGTTCAGGCCAAGGATCTTGAAGAAAGGGATCCCCCTTTTTTAACTAATGCTGCAGAGCATGTGCATAAGAGAGAAAGGTGGAGGCAAGCAAGGGTTGGGAGGGTGTTGAAGAGAGAGAGAGAGAGCACCCCTTCCCCCCCAAGTCCTGGTCTTTTTTCCTACAGTTCTCCATCTGGTCAGAATCCTGGGGTCACACGTGTTTTTGAAGTCAGTGAGGCCAGGATTTGAATCTTGGTCAGCCATGTGGGATCTGGCTGCTTCTGCACAGCACCTGACCTACAGGTTATGCCTGCCACCCACCTCCATTTCTCTTTCTTCTTATAAACCAGAAATTAGTCTAGGGGCTTGATTATTTTTGCAAGAATACTCATAGTGTTCTTAACTTTTCCATTGTGATTAATCCTTTTCAAATGCAACTACATATCCAGGGAGTCTTAAAAAAATTTAATAGCGGGACCAGCAGTTAGCATAATGGCTATGTTGCTGGACTCCCATGTAGTCTACCATGGTTCGAGTCCTGGACCCAGCAGTAAACTCACGCAGGGTGTGTGTGCATGTGTGCCCAAGATCCCGAGAGGAGAATGGAGGAGAAGGGATTGTGGTGTGGCCATCCCCCCCAGGAGTGATTTCTCGCTTTCTGTCTCTCTCTCTCTTTTTGGCGAGCGCACGCACTGTTATAGCAAAAACCTCTCCAAAAAGAAAAAAAAAAAAAAACTTAATAAAAAGCGTGTGACATTAAAACTATGCATAGATTTCAGGTTAAAATAAACTTGGACTCCAATTCCATTTTTCCGTGTACTTTTTTAAGTTCCCTTGTACCATTGCCATGAGTTACTAGTTAAATTTATCCCACCTCTCAGCATGCCCACCCCACTATGGTATCCTACAAAGAAGTGAGCATTTAACCCTCAGATACATGTAGAGTATATATTAGTGCCCTGTGCTGAGAACTTGGACTGCCTACCTTAATAGAGTGTTGCTGCTACTTTGCCCATACTTGGAGCTGATGCAATGTAAACTGCAGCAAAATGTACTGATGTCAGCATAGTTTCATGGGTTTCAACTCCTGGCACCCTGCAGACTGTTGTTGAAAGATGTGTGGGCCCTGCAATTCAAATACAGATGAATCTTGATGTTATCAAAGCAGATACCAAGGCAACTGTTAGCCACCTGGCTACATTTTAATTTAAGCAATCTTATTTTTCTCCCTGAAATTTCCTTGCAAGTCCTAATTGGTCCTGGTGTTTTTGTGATGATTTTTTTGGTAGAATTAAGCAAAGCCTATTAAACATTGCAAAATCAAGATTATACTTAACACTTAGTATATTAGTCTCTGCCCAATGCATAGACAAGTGTTTGTGCAATTTACTGCATAATCACAAGAGGAAAACTCCCCAGACTGTCAAGTTCATGTGTTCCTCCTCTCCTAGACTTAAATTTGATCATGAAAGATAAGTGAAAGGAAGGAAATGCTCTGGGAGGGCAAGATCTCTTAGATTTGTGTAGAGTGATTTTAGTCATATTGAAAGTTAGTTAATGTACTCCATCAGTTACTTTTTGTATGTAGAAGGAAATTTGCTCATGTGGGACCATGAAACAATTTTAAGTGGAGTCAAATGGAAAAAAGGCAAAACAATATACCAGTTAAGACCACAGCTATTGGAGCCAGCAGATGGCTTAGTGGATGAGGCACTGGACTCCCACATGGCCAACCACAGTTCAAGTTCCAGACCCAGTGGTCCAAAAATCGTAAGTACATACATATAAACATACATACATAAATGTTTATAAATAAATAAAAGACCACAACATTTAGAATCAGACCTGAGTTTCAGAAAGAGGACTATTCTAGGGCCAGCAGGTAGCATGCTGGTAAAGTGTTGTACTCTGACATTACTACAGTTTGAGTCCTAGACCTGGCAGTTTGTTCTCTCACTTTGCTTCTCCCTCTGGTCAAATTTTAAAAGTAACTGGGACCAGCATGTGGGGTGGTGGTTAAAATGCTGGACACTCCCACATGGCAGACCACGGTTTGAGTCCCGGACCTGGTGGCTTGCTTTCTCACTTCCTCTCTCTCTTCTCTTTGTGTGTCTCTCTCTGTCAAATTAAAAATAAATGAATAAATAAAATTAAGTAAATAATTCTCTAAAAATAATTTTTTAAATCATAATAATAAAATTAAATAAATAATTCCTTTAAAAAACTACTTAGGATTGTTGAACAGTGTTATTCAAATGTATGTAAAATGCTTTAGCTTGGCATGTAACACATGGAAAGTGGACAGTGTATGGAAGTTACTATCAACTTCTAAAGCGGTACAATTTGGGCACATAGGTAGGCATTAAATATTTAGTAAGTGAGTGAATGAATCTGAGACATTAGTGCCCTGGGTTTTCTTTTTAAATATTAATAGATAGGACCACTGCCTAATATTGGATTTTGAAATAGGAAAACTTATTTTAAAAAGCCATTTTGCATGAGTAGGATAGTAGTCTTTGGTACTGGTCTTTACCAGGGCCATTAACATCATCCATATTTATCCAAGTAAACAGTTCCTGTTCTTGGCCTAGGCACATTTCAGAAGCTAGACACCACACATTTTATTCACATGAGTCTGAATTTAATTAGCCAAATTAAACATGTTGTAACATTTTTCTATTAGCAGATGCCAAATAGCAAAGCAAAAGAGAATCTACTGTAATCTCCAGCTATATGACACATGATGTTACTTGGCATCTCCAGATGAACATTATCAATCCAAATTAAGCACTCTGCTAGCATGTGGGCGGTTCCTGGAGTGAGAATGAGCATTACTGCTTGGTGTCTACAGAAAAACACATTCTCACCTTTTTCTCTTATTAGTTTACACTCAGAAATCTAGTATGCTTTTGAAAATTCTTCTGTCAGTCAACCACAAGTCTTAAATAGGACAGTATCAAATTGCTATTATTCCTATCATTTCTGCAATCCACCACCACTACCTATACTAGACAGATTAAATTTACTTTCTTAAAAATGAACTATTTATTTAATTTATTTATTTTTTACTTTGACCAGAGAGAGAGAAAGGGAAAGTGAGAAAGCAAACTGCCAGGTTAGGGATTCAAACAACATTCGACCATGTGGGAGTCAGCAACTTAACCATGCCACCTGCTGGCCCCTAAATGTACTTTAAAAGAGCTAACTTAAGTGGCCGTGATGGGTCAAGGAGCTGGACTCCCACATGGCCAACCGTAGTTCGAGTCCAGGCCTTGGCAGCTTTCTCACTCTCTGACTTTCTCTGGTGAACACACATACCCTATAACAAATTTTAAAAAATAACAATGTAGTTAAATAATTCTATAAAAGAAGAAAGGAGCTAACTTAAATATTCACAAAAGAGAAGTATCTTTTACTGTCCTTTATGTAAATAGGATTGCTCCTGATGGATGGGTCAGTTCTGAGAGACTATTTTTGCTTCTCAAGACCCATATGATAAAATGAAGCAGTTTGGCTTGTAACATGTTGCAGTGGCTCTGTATTTCACTGAAATTATAAAGCCAAGTACCGACAATAGCTGGGCAGGTAAGGCCAAGGGAAACAATAAGCTATAGTATGGACGGGAGAATTTAGGAGCACACATTTCTTCAAATGGGGCATCATTCCCAGCCCTATGCAAATTTTTCC